TATCGAAAAACAACTACGAAGTGCTCCGTTCCCAAAGTAACAACCCAACCTCCCTCCAAAGCAGCTTTGTAACAACATTATTGAGATGAGCACAACCACACTGCAGCAACCCAGAATACCAGAAAAAAGGAAACAAAAAGCCAGAACACCTCCTCACCAGCAATCAACACCCAGATAAGCAGGGATTAACACCAGGATTAACACCAGATAAACAAACAGTAAACAATACCCAATTCTGGTCTGTGACCATAATAAGATATTGATTGATTGATAAACGATACCTTAATCAAGGAACTACCAACTTAGACAAACAATCAAGCAGTAAACAACAGCCTAATTAAGGAACTATCAAAGAGAAAACCACACCCCCACCAGCACTGACAGAACAAACTACTGTATATAAATAGAGAGCAAACCCCACTCCTTTCCAGTACTGAAGATGTTACCTAGCTGGGTAATGAAATGTCTGCAAGAAAACAACCAAGCTCAGAGAACCCCAAGGACTCCACAATCTTGAATCTCTTTTTCTCAAAACATTAGAGTCTGTTCCTTTGATAAGTCTGTAATGAGATGCCCCATCCTCTGAGTGTTCGTGTTCGGAGATGCTCTCGTTTCTTTCTCAGCATCAGCACAATCTCTTACGCTAACCCTAACCCTAAACTGGAATCTGTGTTCTGAGGCACCTGTATATTCAGACCATTATCAAAGGGAGGCTCACTTATTGCACAGAATAGTAATTCACCGTAGATCTTAGATGGGGCTGCATTTCCTCTTTGAGACTTGGCACAACTTGGGGGGCCTCCTGGACTCAGAGCTCCTGGTTGAAGAGCACATGGCAGCTGTGGCCAGGAGGGCCTTTGCACATGTACCTTCCGTGCACCAGTTGTGTCCTTTTCTTGACTGAGAGACCCTGCAAATAGTCAATCACACCCTGGCCACCTCACAACTGGACTACTGCAGTGTACTCTACATGGGGCTACCCCTGAAGGCCATCCAGAACTTATGGCTGGTTCAAAAGACAGCAGTGGGAGCAGTAACGGACACGTCTTGTTGTGCTCATGTGTCACCGTTGCTACAGAAGCTGCATTGGCTGCCATTTGGCTTCTGGGTGCAATTCAAGGTGCTGGTTGTTACCTATTAAGCCCTGTATGGCATGGGGTCTGGATACCTGAGGGACCACCTATCTCCAATTGTTTCTGTCTGCCTGATACGTTCCAGCAGAGTGGGTGCACACCAAATCCCCTCTATTACATGTTGTCATGTTACTAGACTGAGGAACTATGCCTTCTCTGTTGCAGCCCCACCCTCTGCAACATTGTCCCCCCAGAGATATCGAAGGTGCCCTCTTTCCTGGGGTACCAAAAAGCCTTTAAAACCTGCTTTGGTCCCAGTCCTGGGTTTAATGTGTTTGGGTGGGATGTGTGTGTTATGCTTTGTTTTAATGGTGGTACTTAGTTCAGGCTGTTTTGTTTTGTCTATGCTCTTAATCATTTTAGTTTGGTATTACATTTTCTAAGCCACCCAGAGTCTGCTGGAGTGAGAAGATATAATAAATTTAATGGAAAAGAAAAATCCAAGTGAAAGAGTATTAGGGCGTGGATCACCAAAGTTAAGTTAATGAAAGGACTATGGCTAAACTACCAAAGTTTAAGTTTAAACTGCTGTTTAAGGCAGTTGGGCTTCTAATGATGGCTTACAATCAAGAAGACTTGTTGTACTTGTACTTGTACTTGTTTCCTTGGGGAGAAATGGAATCACACTAGGACTGAGTCACCTTCCTGATTCTTGGGCCAGAGACCAGTTACCCATAACATATTTGACAGCAAATTATTAGCTATATAATATATTGCTTTCTTGTTGCTCCCAAATTTTGGCCCAAATGCCAAAATAATTGGATGAGCCTAAAGTACAATCCATCATTCTGGAAGGGGAGGGGATGACATGGGTTGATATACTCCTGATTAAAAAAAAAAGTTTCCCCTAAGCAAAAAATTCAAGACTGGACTGTAACCATCTATAGAACTGTTTGTCTTCATGATTAGACTCAAATTTTCATCCTTTTCTTCCCAAAATCTGATAAAAGTCACCCTGCTCTATCATCAATCCTTCATCTCTGCCTTGCCTTCTGACATTTCTAATTAGCCTATTGGAAAGAATTATTACAAACAGCTTCTGTAATATTATTCCATTATGTGAAGATGGAAATGTAAGATGATCCCATTAATTTCCCAGCGTGGACATCAGTAGTGTAAATGTAGTAGCTTATCTCTCTTATGTTTTATAAACTAAAATTCATTTTTTCAAGGACATGGGGACAGGATGCAGTCAAATAGAATTGTTGGGAAAACAACTGCAAAAATGTTCTCAAACTCTTGTGCTGCGAATCAGGGTGAATGTACATTTAAACCAAGGAAAGGAAAGGAAAGGAAAGAAGAGGGGAGGGGAGGGGAGGGGAGGATATTTAATTAAAAAACACCCTGCTTTTAAACCTATATTCTTTATAATATACTCTTTGATCAAGTGGTTTTGATGTATAGTTCTGGGGATTCTCAGAAATGGTTCGGATTCCTTCATGAGAAATCCAGAGCTAGAAGAGAAGATTCTTTGAAAGATAGCTTTTATGAATCTGTCCTTATAACAATGAACTATAGGGGAACATTTTGATTCACTTGCAATTAATCACCGTTATGTGTTAGCTAGCTGGTCAGCAAAAGGATTTGAACTGTCCCTTGCCAATGTTAATCATGAATTTAACCTTGGAGAAAATATTGGAGAGTTTCTTTCATTCAACTGGAAAATAACTGGTCAAAAGTCATCTCTGCTCCAGAAATATAAGTTCAGAGTTCACCTGGTATTCTGAGTAGATTTACCAATCCTATGATATTTTTAAAATGCTGTGTAAAGATAATTAAATGAAATTAATCCATTGTAAAGCTTGCTGAACCACCAAGAAATGGTATTCATGATAGCTACCCTTTTCCTAGTAAGTTCTACTCAAGAGAATCTGCTCCAAACTAGGCTTCATCTTCATTAAAGATGTTAGTCTTAGCACAACTTTTGGATATGGTATTAACACAGTCATGTATCCTGCTGAACAGGAATAACTTTCAAATCCACCATAATCTTACACCAGCTACAACTTTAAAGGGGTTCATTGGATCTCAATAGATTTATTGTGGAGGAGAGTTAAGATCCAGTAAATCCGCATAAGTGTCATTCAAACTATCTTTAGAAATCAGAGTCTTCAGAAGCAGAATTTTGCTTCTCATATAATTTGCCCTTTTCAGGGCTTAAGCTTTATTTGTTTCAAATCTTTATATACCACCTACCTCATAAAATTGTATGCAATGTCACTCACATCAAAAGACTAAAATACACACATCTTCAAAAATCAACAAAATCATAAACAATGCTAAGAATGACGACTGAAACACCTTAAAATCCAGCAGATCTGGGTGTCTACAGGATTACGGAACAAAGTGACAGTTTCATATTTCAATGATACATCATCCTTGATCTGCCCCTCATACCAGTTTCTAAAATTTAATTTCTAAAACTTTTGAAGTTTTAGAAATTAAATTTGAAATGAAATCACAATTTTTTCAACTAGGTATAATTCCAGAATGCATTAACAAGAAACAGCATAATCAGGTCTGCGAGGATAAACTTCACCCAACTGTAGAAGAAAGATACAACACTGACAATATTTGACTGGGAACTTATGCAGCAATGGTGAAACTAACAGTATATATCTGTTTATAGAATTTATAGAATAAATCGAATCAATTTATAGAATAAATCGAATGTATAAATAAATAAAATAAATAAATATATATATACACAACAGTTTAACCGAATTCAAACAAGAATGGCTTTCATATATAGAACATATCACACAGCAAGACAAACATATATGCTATGGTTTTTAAGGGGATCTAAATGTCTATAAACACTGTAAATCAATCAAGATTAAATACCCATCTACTTTTCCCTAGCAGCTCCTTTTCTTTCTTTCTTTTAATATTCCTCAAAAACAATAAATAATAATACAGTGGGGGCTTTAGTATTAAGTATTTAGTATTAAGGTCAAAGAACTCAACTTTTTACATGCTATAAAATAATTTAATGTGCTTTGCAATTTTTTATTGAAGTCACATTTAGCATTAATTGCGCACTTAAGCAAGTTTATGTTCATTAACATTTTAGAAATCATATTCAATATTGATATATGTTTTTCTCATCTTTCAAGGTTTAATTTACCTTAAACATCACAGTGTTAAGAGTTTCCTGTTCCTATTACATAAATGCCACTGTACTCAGTAACTATCTTTATTCTATTATGTATTATCTATATTTTATAAGGCAATAAACAATTAACTAGGGGGAAAAAACCAGTTTCAACTTACTTTAGTTCTTTTCTCCATTTTGTTTTTCATTAAAAAAATAAATACTTACCTGTTTGTTCACCCAGAATTGCTGACAATCGATGCGGGATCTTAGCTGAAACTTTCAGACTTGTACGTAGCAAGTAATATCTAAAGAAAAATAGGTTTGGAACAAAAAAGGTGGTTAGAAATTAGTACCTTTTCATAATAAGAGTGAATGAAAAGTCCAAATGTGTTTTGGCAAAATTGCCAGTAACTCATATAAATTCATACGAAATTTTATAAAAAATTTGGAGATGTTGCTACAGCAATAATATAGGAGGAAATAAGTAATGGAGTTTTATGGACGGGGTCAAAAATCCTAGATTACTCAAGTGGAGAATTTGGGGGAAGGGTGGTCCAAAGGAGAGAGAAACTGTCTTTATTTTATTTTTATTTCTTTGAATTTCTGGTGGAAAAGTTTGAGCCAAATGCCAACACTCATCATTATTCTTCCTCCTAGATAGGTGACCATTTACTTCCTCAGAATTCCTAGTCAACAGATGAGCAAAGGCTTCATCATGCATGAACATTGAGCTAGGATTGTATGTGGAAGAGTTGGTGTTTTTTTTTTAACCATCCTAAATCCATTTTTCATAGCAGATAGCAGCACCCATCTATCCTCTGCCCACCCCAAGAAATGTCTATGTGGTCATGAAAATCTCAATTGGAGGTACATTTCACAACTGATTTTTGCTTTTTGTTTTCAGGTTTGAAAGTGGTAGCCAATCAAAATCCAGCTGAGAAGTGAGGGAAAGTTCTCAAGAACAGATTTCAGGCCAAAGGTTGTCCACTTCTGGCTAAGGATGAATGCCATAACATGGCATTGTTCTGGGTCAACCAGATGATATATATACATTGGCTACCAGCTCAGAAAAGAAATTTCATGCATCCCAAGCTTTTAATTCTCCCCCTCTTCATGTGCTCATTCACCTAGTTCTGTTGTCTACAAATTAGGGCACAAAATGGATGGAATTTCTACAAGGCTTTGAAGTGCTTCAGATTTGAATGAGATTCCAAGATTATTTGGAATACATGGGAACATGAATGTTTACATGTCCGTTTGGTTGCTATCTCACCAAAGAAAGCATGAATGCAACAACCTAGCCCGATGGTGGGCCTGATCTGCTTCTCAATGAATTTAAGCACTACTGACAGCAACTTAGGTTCCAGGGGTAGGACCTGAGAATTGCATTGTATTGCCTTTGGATGTTCCAGTTGGGAGAAACACCCAAGAATCTTCAGTGGAAATGAATAGATTCTTGAAAAGGTTAACAGTATTTCTCAGAAGGCTTTCTAGATATCAACAATGCTTCTTCTTGATAATATTGATTTTTGTTTTAAGCATGAAGCCTAAAACAGTAATACTAGGAGAGCAAAAGGTTATTCCAAAAAAAGAAGGATTGGATTTCCTTTGCCCACCATTATCTATGCATATCTCATCCAGAAATGTAATGATTGGAAAAAATGTGAATTATCTACTCCAATGATTTCCAATCTTTTTCATTCCAGGAGCTTAGAGATTCCTATATGCCCTGGAGGATCATGCACACAAAACCAGCATCACTTAGTATATCACTAGGAATCTTCTTCCTTAAAAGGCTGAATTTATGCTGTAAATGCAAAAGATGTTGTGGCCAATGTTGTGGGTGATGTTATGTTTCATTGTAAAGCCAGAGTAGAACATAGCACACATCTTCAGGAGAAGATATATTGGTACATCACTTAATGGGGTGTAATATAGGCCAACATGTAGATTTTACATTGGACATACTAGCTAGCCTCTTCCCAAATTGTAAATGTAAAAACTTGCATATGGCAATTGTAGTTATGAGAAAGAATAGAAACAACAAGCTTCTTTAGAGAGTCAGAAGATCATTACTGCTAAAGTCGGGGAGCAGAGAGCAACTTCATAGGCCATGCAGTGGCTGTGCAACAGCCATTTTAACAGAATACCTACAAGAGGCTCTCATGATGCCAGAGAGCCTACTAGTCCAAAGAGCTTGCCACCCTTGACACAGAACAAACTCAAAACGGGCCTTATTTCTCAATATTCTTCATGAGCCAGAAAGGGAGAACCTCCTTTTCTCAGTATTTCATAGGAAGCCTATGAAGCAAAGGAGAGCCAGTTTGGTGTAGTGGTTAAGGCATCAGGCTAGAAACTGGGAAAAAATGAGTTGTAGTCTGGCCTTAGGCACAAAGCCCACTGGGGGACCTTGGGCCAGTCCCATTCTCTCAGCCCTAGGAAAAAGAAGGCCAGGGCAAACCCCTTCTGAAATCCTCCCAAGGAAACTGCAGGGATTTGTCCAGGCTGTCACTAGGAGTCAACCCTGATTCAAAGGCACAAAACAAAGTAAAATGAAAAATGAAGCAAACTATGGCTTGCCCATTAAACAGTGGAAGGAATGGTGGCAACTGTTTAATGAGGTTCATTAAATGCAAGCGATCATTGTCACAAGGAGAAAAAAAAAGTAACCTCAGTGCTTGGGGAAATCAAGCACATACAGAGTCTATATTTTACAACCAGTTACATGTAAAATCATAGATTAAAGATGTTTCATGTTGGCTATATTGTTATAATGTAAAATAAATGGATGGATTGATGGATGGATGGATTTAGTTATTTATTTAGGTGTAGGCATCACCCACCTCCAAAACAACTCTGGACAACATCAAACAAATAACAGAATGAAAACAGAATACAACCAACTAATACATAACATGTACAAAGACTTATCCAAAAGGGTATCCCATCCACCCTATCCCAAAGCCTGAAGGAACAGGCAGATTTTCAAGTCCTTCCAGAGTGACATCAGGGTGGGAGTCACATGGATCTCAGGAGGGATTTCAGAGGGCAGGTGGCCAACCACAGAAGGCCCACTTTGGGTCCTGATAGATGGCACTGCTTAATCAAAGGGACCCTGAGTGTGCCAACTCTGGCAACTCATACCTTGTATAGGCGACAACTGGTACTTTAAACCATACTGGCAACCAGTGCAGCTTGTGAAGCAGCGATATCACATGGACATACCAAGGCATGTCCATCACTGCCCGCCCCACTGCATTCTGGACCAGTTGAAGCTTCTGAGTGGTCTTCTATGGCCACCCCATGGACTAAAATAGTACATTTGTGAATTACTCAGGCATGATTGACTGTCTGAAGGGCCTCCCAATCCAGGAAGGGGTGCAACTGGCACAAAAAATGAAGTTGTGCAAAGGTCTTCTTGACCACAGTGACTATCTGCTCTTCAAGCAGTAGCTGTGAGTCCAAGAAAACCCACACATTGTGCACCACTCTTGAATGAGGAACTGCAGCCCCATCAAAGATTAAAGATGGGAAATCCCCAGATCTGGGGACCCCTAATTTACATAGTCTTTGTGTCTTGGTAGGACTGGTAGGATTATGTCAAAGTTGGTTTCTCCCCACCCAGACCCACCCAGCCTCCAGATACTAGGATAGGACTTCAATATATATAATTATGTATACCATAATGCTGAATAGTTCACTTGGTTTTAAACTCCAGAGGATCCAATTTCTAAATTACTTTACCCCTGGGTTATCTTGAATTGTCAGCATAGAGAGGTAGAGATGGGTATCATGTATGATTCAGTAATGCTATCTATGCAGATAATTTGTTATAATTACTTTTAGAGAATTGGTATACAAATCCTACTTCTTTGTTCCCATTCCAGAATTGGTTTCATTTTTTTAAAAGAGAGAATTAGTCAAATATATTCAGAACAGCAACTCTTGTATATAACATCTCTGTGGTTGATCCATAATAGTACAGTTACTGTTCAGGCATATCTTGAGCTCCAAGTGTTAAAATGTCTAAAGTCTAAAACAGAGAAAAAGCAATGCCAGCATTTTGTCTTGACACAGAAGAGTTTATCATCCAGCAGGATGCCGTGAAGAACAGGCTTGTGATCACAGCATGTCATCACCCTGGTAGATTGTTACACTACCTGTCTCATAGCATTTGTCGGTGACCAATTGCTCCAGAACATATGTTTTATTCTCCAGATGGGGTGGGAAATGCCTAGCTCAGAGAGAAGCTGAGAGTGCTAAAGAAATATCTCCAGGCCTGTGCCCAAGGAGACATACTATAGTTATAGAGACCTTTTCAGGTATAAAACAGATTTGATCAACCCTTTTCCCCTTCCCTTTCTCCTCCTCCACCTCCTCCTCCTCTTTTCTCCTTCTCCTTTCCCTTTCCCCTTCCATTCATTCCCCTTCCCCTTGTCCTCCTTTCTCCTCCTTCTCCTTCTCTTTTCCCTTTCCCTTTCCCCCTCCCCTCCCCTTCCTGTTCCCTTTCCCTTCCCTTCTCCTTCTCCTTTCTCCTCCTCCTTCTCTTCCTCTTTTCCCCTTCTCCTTCCCCTTCCCTTCCTCCTCTTTCCTCCTTCCCCTCTCCCTTCTCAGAACCATAAAAGGTCTGATGCCAGTGGGATTGAAAACTTGGCTCTATTTCTCATGAATAGCCCAGGAGAGCTTAAATGTGCAAAAGCACTGCTGGATTCCATCCAAACTCACCTGTTGTTCATACTGAATTGTTGGCAATTGTGCAAGGCAGGGTTATTTTCTCTCTGGCCTCTGACTGAGTAAACACTTCAGAAAGTACATTTAGTGCTGTGGAGAATTACTAAGCTGACAGCCAAAGACTGAAGTCTTCTGTTCACCATGTGATAGCTGTCTTCCAAAGATCTCTGTGGCCAAGAAAGCTCAGTCCATGGTTTGCAGGACATTGTCCTGGGAGGAATGAGGAATTGCATCTCTCCACTGGCAACAAGAAAAATATGGTTCCTTCCCACTCCCAATACCTCTGCCGCAGCTGATCAAGCTAGCAGTTAGATCTTATTTCAAAATTAATGATAGAGCAAAATCTTACAGCACACCGGGGGGTGATTCCACAATATGGAGTGGATTTCAGCACCAAAGTACATTCCAATTCATATCTATGTTTGAAAAGGCAAAATGGATACATCTGTATGAACTCACCAACCTGATCAATATTTTAGCCATGACTAATGCTTACTAATAAAACCATAGTTTTAGCATTATTCCAAATAATGATCAGACAGCAGTGGTAGAATGTCTACCGGTGAACTATATTATAAAAGGGATTAGATAGCAGCTTAACCTATTTGCAGGGTGGGAGGAATAAAAGGCATTGCTTTTATCCCAGTATCCAAGCTGGTGGGAGTGTCTTCTACTTTGTCAATCCCACCTCATGCAATATCCAGTTACTCCTCTGGAAGAAAGAAACACGAACCTAAAAATATTGCATGGAACTAGTTTGCTGACAAGCCAAGCATCTATGCTCAGACAGTGCTGTTTCCAAAGGGGCACATTTCCTGCCCCCAGAGACATCATTACTGTTTTTATTGTCTGGGAGCAAATATCTCCTTCAGTGGTTCCATTTTAGTTCCATTAGAAACCAACATTTTGCTTGTTTGAAGGCATCATCACAAAATAGCTGATGCCCAGCCAAATGATTACTTTATCTTACAACAAGCTATTCATTTTTGGAAGCTTTTCCTACCAGGGATGGGAAAGAGGCAATTATACTGCCAAGAAATAACAACACGTACCTAGCCCACAGATTAATGGATGTATCTTTAAAAAAAAAAACAGAGCAAAATGAATATAAACTGATGACAGCATTGACTTGCATTTAATCACCTACTGCCTATGTGGCCAACATTTTAAGCAATTCAAGTGCCAAGGTTTCCAGTCAAAAGTGTAGAACACTTGCACTGGAGAAGAGAAAGATCTGCAAAGGAGAGAAAAACAAACCAATGCAAAAGACCCATTGGACTGAATATTTCACTAGGTTTTATTTTAAACTCTTCTGTTTTCTCAGAATTGCTTGAATCTTTCACCCATGTTGCACCCTTGTGATACATAGTGACATGTCAGGGTGAAGATCAGTTGGAGGCCATTCGGGCTAAGTTAAATCCTAGATAACTACAGTACAGGAGGTTCTGTTTACCAGCTGCTGACAGAATGACATCTTCCAGTATACCCTGAAGGAGACCGGAAGAATGTCTAAACTACCAACCAGAGCTAACAAAAATGTTAACAAGCCATTCACTAAAAATAAAATATGGGATCAAATTACTGATTTCTTACAACCCCACCCCTCCAAATCAGAGGGGGGGCAGGTTTCCTGTTATATAGGAACATTTTGGAAGTATGGATTCTCTGTGTTCTCACGTCATTATTTCTGAATATAGTCAACTGAATCAAACTATTTATAAATTCAGGTCCAATGTTTAATCTGCAGAGTTTGAGAATCCATCCATTTCTTTATGGAAATATTTCTATTTCTTCTAAATTAATATTTCTTTCAACGGAGTAGCCCACAATTTATCAACAAACTCTCATAAAATTCTCACATATACTGAATGACCTTACAACAGGGGAGAATGGAATAAAAACTTGTGTGAACTGAGCAGATAAATTAGTTAATTGATCTCAGGCAGATATGGGTAACTTTATTTTTCAGCTTAGTAAAGATTGTCAGAAGCTTTAAGGTAATTTGGAAAAGCTCTACTCTCACAAGTTATAAAATGAGTTTTGATGGAGTGAATTTAGATGAGGAAAGGAACCTTCACATTTGTTTCTCTTTCAAAGAGTACATTATATATGCCTGTCCTTCAGAACTCAATAAATAGCTCCATGCTTTCTGTTTAAAAGAGACAATAAATTTTCATTTTGCTTGCTTCCCGCTCAACATTTTCTAATGTTTCTCACTGTTAACAAATTATTTACTGGATTTATTCCCAAGCAACCTTTAAGCAGCATAGAAGGCTTTACTAGGTTTTTACTATTTATTATTTGATGCATTCTATAGACTCTTTGATTCACGTTACTACCCTATATTAGGAGTGAGTCTACTGAATTCAGTGTGGATTATTTCTGGGTAGACTTGTACAAGGCTGAATATTTTAAACTTTAATGGAAGCCTTGGGTTCCTCCTACCATAGAATCACAAGAAAAGCTTGCATCATTATCCATGTCTATACTTCCATCTGATCCATCATGCTACCAGGTTTCAGAGTCGCCAAGCACTATTAGTTTCAGTCGCTTCCCATTCAGTGATGGCTGTTGACAAACAAGCTTCAACAGGACTATTCAGTGCTTAGGAACCACATATGGCAGCTAACTGAAACATGAATGAATAGAATATTTGTGAATATATACAGTGGAATTGTTAGGTGTATTTACTCTGCTTAAGTCAAGCTGGGGGAGAAGGAGATGTGTACAGACCCTTCCCATTACAGATCATCAAAATTCCATCCCATTGGCTGGGTAGAGCTGAAGAAGATATATCAGCATGTTTGGGTGAAAAATCTGAGAATTGGAACATAGTCCTTCCAATTTGAAATTTTGGGCTCTAACTAGAAGATTGGAGCAGACTTTGACTTTTATAGTACTGTGTTTTCTATTTCCAAAAATGGAGGTAGAGTAACAATTTCCTTATTTTTTTTTTTTTCCTTCCTAGTAAGCTTTGGGACAATCTTTGGTACCTCCTCACCCTGCTTCTTTACTTTACAGGAGGCTGCATCTCATCTTGTCTGAGCATAGAAGCTAAGCAGAGTTGGGCTGAGTTATTATTTGGATGGAGACAACAGGGAATTCTAGGGCAGTGGGATAGACTGGGAAGTCAAAATGGATCTCAGAAAGAAGGCCGTGGCAAGTTGCAGAATTGCTCAGAAATAAGGACGTCACTGTTGCTGAAAATGCATCTGTCCACATGGGCACCAGGAATCAAATTCAGTTTGAGGGAACTGCTATTTTTCTCAACCCAAAATACTAATTTTAACATGAAAATGCTGTCCAACACTTCATCTAAGATGGTAACAATAGAGAGATGACTTGAGGCTCTATCTTTTCCCTTCTTCTCGCTTAAGAAAGTTTTTTTTTTTTTTTTAATCCATTCAATCATGTCTGATTCTCAGAGACTACCTGGAAAAGTCCCTGCAATTTTCTTGGCATGGTTTTTCAGAAGTGGTTTGCCATTGCCTCCTTCTGCTGTAC